AGGCTCTTCATTGATATGCAGATGCATCAAGTCTGTTCTGATTACGTGGCGTGTGCGCTAGTCACACTTCATTTCTTTTTCGTCTTCCTCATCTGGCAACTGGTGCAGACAAGTACTCTCCGTACGACGTGAACGGCCATCAACAAAACACCTTTTTGATAAAGCAGTGTGAGTTTGTTTGCTATCGAGATGACAAGGATACATATTGAGTGTGATGCATGTGATTGTTGTAACTGTGGTCGCTTGCGTTTCTCGCATCATGAATCATCCCGAATGGCTTTTAGAAACCGAGTGCGTAAAGAAAGCTCAGGAAGCAGTTAAAATCGTTGAAGGTAAGCCAGTGACGCAGATACAAATACGATTGCCAGATGGCCAGCGAATCATTGGAAAATTCAATCATAGCCATACGGTGCGAGACCTCCGTATTTTTATTAAGAGGTAAGACATGCACAAACTGCAGTTTGTTTCACTGCTAGTTAATTGTTCCAGACAGCCCTCGCAGTTCATACGGTACGCGAGTACGACGCTGATAAAAAAACTGTTATCCCTTTCACCCACATTATCCTGCTGATGCTTTTTGGCAGATCTGGTGGCTTCCCAGTCTTCTCACCTTCTCTTCAATCCTCTCGTTCCCCCGCTCCAACCAGCCTGCGCATGCATCATTGCGCAGCTAACTGGGAAAATGCGCTTTCCCGGTTCAGTTTTATTTTTCTTTCATTTCGAAGTATCGCTTTCGGCTTTTTTTGACTGTGAGGAAAGCGGGAAGACATACGCTCCAAGGCACCAAGATCTAGAGCAATTTTTTGTTTCAGTGCAGCACGTGCTTATATATCCCAGCCGTTTAGCCTGATGGCGACCTTTCCGAGCAGATTGGTCAAAGATGAAAATATCACTCTAGAAGAAGCCAATTTACTGAATTCTGTTGTTCACGTGAAGTTCTGTGAATAGCATCTTTGCTTTGTGAAGGAAGCTAGGCTTTGCACATGTCTGTGTAATTTTTGCAAACTTTCTCACGCACATCATGCTTTGTGCTTCTTTTTGGCCTTACGAATAATTTCGCTAGACAATTCATGTTAAGTGTTCATGCAGATAATGATGAATACACAATATAAAAATGATATTTCGGTCGAGCTGGTCATCCTGGTTCCTTACGATGGAGTATTTGCAAGCACAGTGCCCGAAAATCCAGAGCACGCAATATGGCCTTAAAGGCTGTACAGGAGCTACTGCGTTCACACCAGCCTACACGTGGGTGTGTCTCCTGTCAAAATCGACCGTCATGTGGTTTCACTTAGCACGCACTACCACTGGCTTACTTTCGACTGCCCTCGCATTTCGTCGGAAGTGAATGCGGTGAGAGTTATGGCCTATGGTTTTTCTGACCTTATATTTCTGAACTTTAACTTTGGTTTCCTTTATTCAAAAACAGGTGAAGCGTTCACTGTGAGAAAGCTCAAAGAGACGTGGTAGGCAACAACGATTTGGTGTGTTAATTTATGCCGGGCTTATTTGGTCAGGATAAAAAGTGATGTGGCGTCTGAAGATCTGGGCCTACAATAATGTAGAAGAATGTAGTGCCTGTAAACCACTTCTAATTTTTTAAAACGAGTTCCAAATTTCAAACAAATAGTAACACAACTGTGGAATTTGCGCAGGTAGGCATCATTCGATAAGCTGCTGCGGACATTTAATGAGTGGAAGCACATCTACGTGCGAGAATCCGTCATGATGACTGACTCGAAATGCATAAAATTTTAAGGCTGCATTGTTCAAGAGTTACAGTCATACTATTTCTGAACTTTTGATTATGCGACAAAAAAACAGTCTAAGAGTTGATATTGTGTCACGCATATCGTGCTTCGAGTTTGCTTCAGTTACGTTTATTAGAGTTAGCATGAATAAAAGCCTAAAATCGTAGATCAAGTTATATCAAAATTTTGAAGGTAGACATTACGCGTGGTGATTTGGCGCTGTGGATTGGTTCATTAAAAAAAGGCACAAATGACTTGAATGTTGAATTTAGTTTTTTAGCCCTGAGCGTGCTCGAAGCTTTGTGTTCAGAACTTCACTTCTTAGCTCTTGTTCCTGAGTGGAGCTGTGCAGACGAACTTACACAAGACCCTGTCTTGACTTCTTTTTTTTTCCATGTTTGTTCATTTAAATGCTTTGTTTGAATGAGCAACAGAGTAAAAACAAAAACGCTTATTGTAAAATCACTTCGCTGGATTATGAGCACGCAGGTCGTAGTTGATGTAACTTTCTTAATTAAAGTACTAGAAGCAGGAAAACATCACACGATCCACGCAAAGTACAAGCAGTAGTGCTGCTTCAGCATTTAGTGCGACGGATTTTTAAAAATATGGGGTGTGCTAAGAAAAGCATGTTTATAAGGAAGTGCTGATGAAGAATTGCTTCTTGACCTTACTGCGGATTATTTCAAACATTTTTTGGTTCTATTCTGAACGTAGCACTGAAATGCAGATATTTAAGATAAAATGGCGGTTGGCAAAGGATAGCTTTTGCGGCGGGGAGGAAGAGAACAACGGGAGCACATGTTCATCTTGTGGAATTCAGTGACGACAATTGGGTTTAGACGCTGGGGGACTCTGTTTGGACATTTCTGACCTATATAATTTGAGCTCATGCAGCAGAGTGTTATGCACATCATGTCTACAATTCCACCCTGTACGTCGGCTGTCCAGTCCCTGCTCTTCCTGGTTGTTATCAGCCAATTCAGGACTACCAAACAGTTCCGATGGAAGCGAGATTTTATGTATGTTTCCGAAGTCAACTCTACCGATGCCACTTGCTTCCAGGTAATTTCACGCTTGTTGCTATTGCAGCTACAATCGCGCGCAGTGCCACTGATATTAGTCGCGCACAGGACCACTAATCGTATCCTGCTGATACTTGAAACGGCGACTAATTTACCTTTGATTTTTCTTCAGTGGTGCAGTCGATAACCATGCCATTTTCTTTCTTCATTTTACGGTTGCTTTGACTATTGCTGCATTGCTTCGTAGTCCACATTCTGGCAAACCTGACATCCTTTCGCCAGCTCAAAAGCTTCCCTAGCAGAAGTACTTAATCAAAGCTTTGATCACATGGAAATGCAACAGTATGCGCTGAGTGTCACTATGTCTAAGCGTTACCACTTCCAGACTATCTGGAAGAGATCGTAGTTCAAGAATAAAAAATCTCTAAATTTAGATGAAATGTGAGGCGAGCTTATTTGCAAACCCCTTAAGAAAAAAGGAGGAGAAAGGGGAGACGGAGGGAGCAGAAGTGCAATAGTCAAACATAATTCGTAGAACGCAGAAGCCTGACGATTCGAAAAACGATGCTAAGCGTGCAGTGAGTTATTGCCTTGGTATTTACGATTCCCCGTTGATATCTAGGACTGTAACGATGAGTGGAAAAACATATTTCAACGTGAGTTCAACTTAAGCGCTGCTGATTTCTATGACTTTCCTCTACATCCACTGATATTGAATCGTGCCGGTTTCATCACATTTTGCAACATATCGGAGCAACGGACTCAGTGCTACATCGATGATTGCAGTGACCAGGTTAGCCCTTAACCAATGAGCTTTGTTAATGAATTCTCTACGAAAGCGCAGAGGGTCCCGGAAAAAATGGCAGTAGACTCCAGCACCAAACCTAGACTGGAAGCCGATGCGATTGTACGTTTTTGCACCAAATTTGAAGTAATTTGTT